AAACATGCCTTTACGCCACCAAAAGAGATACACCTCCATGTGTAAATAAAATAATACAGGGATCGATCCAGCATGATCTGGTAGGGGGCTGCTCTGCAGTGGTGCCGCCAGCTCGATAATTGGGGGGGGGGCGAATATTCATATATTTGTGTTCACAGAGCATAAAAACAATCAATTTCAAAAGAAGTTAATAATGCAGAACACAAAGATATGAATATTCGCCCCCTCCCCAATTATCGAGCTGGCGGCGCCACTGAAGCTCTTGTACAGAGTTGTGTCGGTCATGTGTGCCACTCACCCATCAACAGACTACATTTGAATTTGAATTGTTGTTCACAGTTTGTTTATCATCATGTTATTGCTCAAATTACTGTATCTCATTTTGTCTCTATTATTTTTTGCTTTATCATGAAAGAAGCACCCCCTTCACCCTCTCCTGTCAGGGTTTGGAGGGTGCACCCCCTCTAGTAAATCTGCAACTTGCAATGCAATTTCTGATAAAAGGCAATGTGATTTAAAAATAAGTCACAGGGAAATTGTGAGCATAGACAACAGTTTCCACTACTTTTATTTTTTTATCCCATTTTCATCCATTAAAAACATGTTATATTGTAAAGAAGGTGTCAGCAAAGCAGAATGCTGGCCATGTTCAATTATGTCACTATTTTATCTGGCAGGTTATGACATGCTTGATCAATGTTGTCATTGACAATGGTTGCTTGTCCATGTGTTGTAGCCTTGAAGCTGCTAATTGTACAATGTAAACCTTGCTGTTCACACTTTCTAGGATGCAGCAACTTAGTCTCCATCTCAGACATGCAAAATAGCACCTAGTTTCTTGCATAGAAATCCTGACAATTCAACATCTTCATTTGGATTAAAAAAAATTTTAAAAATTATTATTATAATCATCTACCATGTTATTGTTTAACTGCTGGATTGTACAATGCAATTCACATCATGCAGGTACTGGACACTAGTGCACACATGAAACAAGACATAGTATAGTAAGCAGGGGCGTCACTAAGGCATCAACATTGGAGGGGGGGGGGGTTGTCATGTTTTGATCAATATTTAATAAATTTTTGACCAAGTCGTAAACCCGGAAATGTTGTCGACAGGGGGGGGGGGTAAAAAAATATTCCAGACTGATATAAGCATATTTATAAATTTTTCGACCAAAATAAGCAAGGCTTGCCAATATTTAACCACAATTTACCAACTTTGTCCTTAAATTTTAAGCAAATATCAGTTCCATTTTGACAAACTTTGAGCAAATACCAGTTCCATTTTGACCAACTTTGACCAACGTTTCAATTATTGGGGGGGGGTTACCCCCCCCCCCCCACACACACCCATGTAGCGACGTCCCTGATAGTGAATATAGTAAGTGAACCCAGCTAATTTTAGATTTCAGACAGTGGCGTTGCTTCACTGATTGGCATACTCGGCCAATCTGACAACCAAACACCAGACCAAGGCTTTTTCACTAAAATCAATCTGGCTCTTGCCTTGGTTTCAATTAATAATGGGTCCACAATTATCAAGCTGAAATATATTTTATCTTGTTACATTTCTACACATGATATGTAGGGTAATTTTGTCCTGCTTCTAACAACCATGAACAGACAGATTGAACTAACTGTACATGATAATTGTACTATTTTAAGTAATTATGCCAGCCAGACATTAACAATTATTTAAAACACAAAACAACTATAATTGATCCAAAAAAATATTATATGAAATTAAATGCAATTCATTGTGATGTTAACACAAAGTCTATCTTCATAGTGCTTAAAAGATTACAACAAGATTTCTATTTCTATCTACAGCTTATACAAAAATATACGTCAACCTTGATGTTTTCCATTTGACCATTTACAGATATACAAAAATATATGTCAACTGACAACATGTAAATTATTTGATGACAATTTTAATTTCCGGGTTAAGATTCTTTCAATTGTCCACAAAAGCTGTATTCTTAATCGTTTAGCCGCCTTTAGCGAGCGTATTAATATAAATTCACTAATTTTCATAATTCTTCACTCCATGCAATCCGCCATCTTGGATGACAAATCCCTCCCCACGTGCATACCCTAGAGACGAAATCGCTGCGCAAGCAAGATGCGCAGAACGGCTCAACCATGTCGGGTTTTGGCAGGCATCTCACCGACTTTCTGAAGTACGTGAACTACGAGATGCCTGCGGAGGAGGCTAGGCGAGTTTCCCGTCTAGGCGGGATGAAAACGACGTCCCGTCCCGTCTAGGCGGGATCATATAAACAGGCCCTTAGTTAATATTCCATATTAACACTGCCCACTCGAAATAGTTTTGTATAAATGATGATTTGAAAGTTGAAATGTCAATAGTTGCATATTTACTATAGCCTGCGCTACATGCTTTCAATAAACTTTTTACAATAGATGGATAGCGATTCCACTGCATGCCTGAAAATACAAGTAAAACGTCGGCATTTCGATCGAGCGAAGGCCCTTCGACGTTGTCTGGAAATTAATAGTAGACGAAGACCGTTCAAAATTATATTATGCTTTGCACCTGTATGGCCGTGATACAGTTATAAATATTGCAGTATTAAATATAATAAATGACTTAGGAAAAGTAAATAGAACCCTTCCCGTGTTATACACGTTGGCAGGCAAATGTATTTTAAAAGCTCCAAAGAGAGCTTCGTATTATTATGGTGTATTAAACACAATGGGGAATGTATTATTTTATATAATCGTAATTTGCCAGCCAGTAAAATATAAACAAGGCAAGGACAGCTAAGGTTTTATACTCTATAGTACAGTATAGTGACCATACCGTAAAATCTTACGACATATGCAGTAATAGCAGTATGGCTTGCCTTATTCTGTTTAGATACCGGTATATGTTATACTTTTTACACCTTGTCTTTTGAATTTTATATTTTAGCCGATAGGTTTACACTTTAATATAGCGATGCCGTTTGTTTTTACTGTATTTATTTTTAAATGTTTGAATAAATTAGTTTAACATGTCAATCAACCTGTAGTCAACGTAAATTCAGCCAATCACAATTCTCGGCAGCTGGCTGCCGAGAGTGATCAATTTTACTAGGGCTTCCGGGCAGGCTCTCCTTCAATTATCTACCCTATAAAAGAGCCGGCCACGCCGGCTAACGCAGTGCAAATGTTTGTGTTAATGTATCTCTTTTCGACCAGAGAACGTTTCGACTATCCGATTACCCGAGCGAGATGGCCACGGTGGAGGCTATGCCAGTCCACCCTCTTAATCATTTAAGTGGCGATGTGCCCTGATGCACCCTACATTATTGTTCAACTCTGTCAAATGGCAGACACTTTGACCAATGAAGAGGGGAGTGATGCCAATCAATGGGTTAACCATGCTCTGTTTGCGCTGTTAAATATAATGCAGTTCAAACCTCTTCCTCTATGCATGGTATTCAGTATATAAATCTCAGTATACATTTTCACGTCAATGGGTACCAGATAATTATTAAAATATAGTTTTCTCATTCACTTATATTTACGCGGTAATCAGTATTAATACTAAAGCATGTTATCATAATTCAATACATCTGTAAAAGACAGCAAATAGTAGAACCTTAAAAAACATGCACACCACAATGTCCTATTTGCATAAGTCATAAACCTGTGTACTATACCCATCCTCTGCTGGATAAACCTGTTTTGTTGCTAATACCACAAATGATGGACATACCTTTCTATTTGGCGATAGGCTGCTTTCTTTAAGCTGTCCATGCATAAAATAGTCAATTTCAACGGCCCTGATGTCATACCTTGCCCCACAAAGGATGTCACACATGTAAAAATATTCAATCAAACTATTAATAGGATATAGACCCTAAATGGGCAAGGTATCAACGGGACTCAAAGAACCATGCAAGATACCTTCCCAAACATTATTAAAACTAAATTAAATTTATGTAACATTCCACACACAAGACACAACTCTACACACACCTAGTGCATGCACCACAGTTTACGTCCTATGACACGAACAGTCACGAAACAAGGACCACGTACATGACAAGTCAACATCATAAATAGAATCAACAATAATAGAGTATCTACGTTTAACTAAACATTTAAAAGAACTAGGATTAGACACAGTGTCCAAACATACATCCTTACATACAATGTTCCACAGTTTGACAACACGATTATAGTACGAAGATTGAAAAGTGTTTGTTTTACAAATTTGGCTTTGTAGAATGTACTTTGAGGTGTTACTCAGCCGAGTCCGACCGTGACTGACAAACGAGACACAGTTACTGACATCAACATTAACATAACCAAACAAAGCCTTGTTAAGGTACACCAAGTCCTTAACCTCTCTGTCGAAGGTTAACGGCAGAAGGTCCAAGGCCAACAGACGTTCTTTGTAGTTCAGCTCTCCTCTTCTGCTCATCATGATCCATCGCGTCGCCCGACGTTGCACTCTTTCAATCCGCTTTGAGAGTTGGATGTTATTTACGGGCGACCAGACTTCCGTTGCGTAGCATAATTTCGATTTCACATGAGTCAGATAAAGAGTTCGCCTGGCTTTCATGTCTGTCAGTTGAGTACATGTCGTTTCAGTACACCTAACATTTTGTTAGCCTTGGAGATGACACAATTGATTTGAAGTTCCCATGAAAGTCCGGAGGAAGTGATGACGCCAAGATCCTTTTCACTGTCAACTCGAGTCAGACTTTCTGTTCCCAGTTTGTAATCGTAAGTGACAGGAGATTTATTGCGTGTAATGGTGAGTACTATACATTTAGAAGCATTGAAACGGATGTTGTTTTGTACACTCCAGCAATTCAGATTTGTCAACGATTGTTGTAAACATTTGCAGTCATCAGTAGAGCTAATTGTATTGTGCAATTTAGTATCGTCGGCATACAGGGCTGTTTCAGTTCCATTTTGCACAACATCTGGGAGATCGTTAATAAAGATGACAAACAATAACGGACCGAGAATACTTTCTTAAGGCACTCCAGAGGTGACTGGTGACCATGTCGAAGCCACACCATCTACAACGACTCTCTGAGTCCTACCATTCAAATAGTCTGCAAACCAACCCAAAACTGATCCTGTCACACCGTAACCACGCAGTTTCTCGAGAACGATTGCGTGGTCCACGGTGTCGAAAGCCTTAGCTAAATCCAGATACAAGACGTCCGTCTGAATATTCTTATCTAGATCATGTCCAATAGTGTGGAATACTGATAGCAGTTGAGTCACACACGAGCGTTTTCGAAGAAAACCATGTTGAGCTTGGCTAATGTGATGTAGAATGTGGTCGTGAAATCTTAAAGTACACACAGCGTTCCAAGACTTTACTGACAATTGGCAGTAACGAAATGGGCCGATAGTTTTCCGCTGGCTCCTTCGATTCTTTTTTATGGATCGGTGCCACGTCTGCTGATTTCCACTCGGAAGGAATCCAACTGGATTGTAGGGAGAGGTTGAAGAGAGAACAAAGACTCGGAGCGATTTGTTGGCTGCATTCTTTTAGAAGACGTGCAGGAATTCCGTCGGGACCACTTGCTTTGGATGTATCAAGATTTCTTAGGCAATTAGCGACGTCGTGTTCACTAAGCTCTATCTCCCGTAGTTGAGTGTCAGTTCGTAATTGGGACGAAGAGAAGGTGGAGGTTTGATGTTTATTGGGTCTTGAAGGTTGAAACACAGAGGAGAAATAAGAATTGAAAAGTTCAGCTTTGTCTGAATGCGTTTTTTCCAGTTTTCCCTTGTAGGAAATTATTGGAGTTTGGGTTGATCGATGATGGAAAATCGCCTTACGATAACTCCAAAATAGCCTCGGGTTGTCTTGAAAAGAGTCCTGAATTTTGAGTAGATAGTCACGGATAGATAGAGTATATAGATATTTTGATATTTTGAGTGGATAGTCATAGATGTTTATAATTTTGCCACAACATTATTTTGTTCTCCTCTTCTTTTGGCATGGACTGGCAAACTTCACATACAGTATACACACCAATTAGGCTTCGTAGCAGACAACTCTGGCATAGGTCCCCCAAATTCTAGCAATTTCGTTGCATAATCCACAATGCCACTACCATTTGATAAGAGCTGTGCCAGGATGCTATCTTTTTTTTAATAAACATGTGATATAAGTAAATATAACAAAGTTGATATGAATTCCTATAAGAAGAGCACTTGTATACATCAAGCCTTTTCTAACTGACTTGTTGGCCAATCATAGTAAATATGTTCAAGCCATTTGGAATTACAAGTTTCCCAAAGATCCGTTGCTTTTGTCTTTAGTCCATGGCAGCCAATTCCGATTATACAATATATTTATTTTCGGTATTAATAATACTCCACAATGCTTAACACAATAATAAAATTCTTATGAGAACTTCTAGGAGCTTTCGCATGCCTGATTTCCGGCCATAGTTGATCGCAGATTTATTAAAATGTACCTTGTATTACATGCATTATGTTACAGCGATTGTTTTACGAATGTATGAATTAATATACAGAAAGATAAATGTTCTTTTATATTTACACAATTTACTGATTATGCGATCGAAGACACATTGCATGAAAAAAGCTTTTCTTAAAGCGCTCCGTCTTAGAAGGAAACAGTGCTTGTTTCCGTACCTTAAATTGCAATTGTATTCGTTGGCCTGAGACGGTTGCATTAAATGATTAAGGCGTGAATCAGGCTTAGTGTCTCATTTTGTAAAACCTTTTTGCGCACAAAGTACCACGTCTTCCGCGTATTAAATGTCGAACATTTGGCTTGGTCTAGAGCTGCGTCATAGTGGCTCCTCAGACGTCATCCTCGCGACTCGCGCGTGGAATCTTCGTGGCCCGGTAAAAATCTTGAAACAAGGGAAGTTGTTTTTGTATTTTTATCTACAAAGAAAACGCCAGTTTTTTATTATAATCCTAAACTTTTCAACATTAGAAAGGTACATATGTTGTTAGCTAGTTTTTTATCTACCTTCAGTGTGTTTTTTTTATATATTTAATACGTTTAGTACTGTATTTCATAATGCTCACAATGTTCAACAACAGTGTCACGGACTGAAATGATATTTTATACTGTCTTAAAGGCACTCCTGAACTATCACTGAAGCTTACGTAAATCCTGTCATTAAACTCAGTTCACATGTAGTTTTTTTATCTGCTGAATCCAATAAAACTATAATGCAGACAGTTACAAGTTGTTTTATACGAAAAGTTAAACTCTACTTGAATGTTTTGAAAAGTTTTCAAACCGATTTTCACAACAAAACTAAATTTAAGAAACGTTGGATTAAGTCAGTGCGTTATTGCGTTCTTAATTTTTCGTATTTTGGATATATATGTCTTTTATTTTCATTTCAAATAAGTATAAAATATCTGTGTGATACATATAAGCCAAAAACTCAAAGTGAAAATTGCTAAAAAAGCCAACATAAACCGTACGCGTTTGTGTTCCTCACGCATTATAATTTACACGCATGCGCAAATAGTGATCATGTCGAATCGATATTTTATCACGTCAACAGCTTCAACTGGATTTAGGACTATTTTCCTCGCGTTTCCTTCGGTGAAATTTTTTTAAACTTTGCACGTTGTCTAAGCATGACGATTCGCCAAACATATCAAAATTTCAAGAAATTCTATAAGACAGATTTTTTGTAGACGTTATTCATGAATATTTCAAAACCTGCCTTATAAACATCCCCTCAAATTTTAATATGTCATTCCTCTTTCAACCATAAATCTTAAAAAAAAAATTCAGAAAAATTGACCGAAGGAAAAAAAGATATTGCCGTTTGATTGTAAAATTAGACAATAAAAGTGCAAAGATGAAACGTCATGGTTGCCATGGCAACACTAACGCTGTTCCTATTTGTTCATATATCGACAGCAGAAGACTTCTGAACTTTCCTGGAAATGATTATATTGCCCTGTCTTAAGTGTGTTCAATATAAATTTGGTTGAAAACGAAGGTTACCTAAAATACTTTAAATTTTAGAAAACTGTAGGGAGCCACCTTAAGAATGGCTTAAAAATTTCGCAGATATGAATAAAACCAACAACACAAAGCAAGTACGGTATGGCATTTTACTACTGAAATGTTTATACTTAACCAAACAGGCACAACAACGATTAAGTTATCAAAGATATCAACATCAAAACATCAAAACAATTATTATACAAACTTTGTTTCACGGTTGAACAGACACTAATTCATGAAACTGCAGGCTTATTTCCAGTTAAAATCGAGGAAAAAAAAGTGTTGTACTTTCTTAAACTTTTTAACGAAATTTAAAACAAAAAATTGCTTGTAAAACGTAAAATACGTCCTTTCAAAATGAACAGCAATTTACTTCAACAGATTTTGTACTCGCGCATGCGCATAACGTCGAAAACCGTCCATGACAGAAACAAAATGGGGGACAACTTTGCACTCCGCCACAGAATAAAGATAAGCAACAGAAGGGCCACTCAGCGGTGCAACATGTCCGCGTTTTTTTATGCCAAAATATGCAGTTTACTCATGGCCAGAAGGCGGAGCAGCCAGCCAGTATAGCGTGTTTATTGGCCAGAAAATGTCATTGACTGGCTAGGAAAATGGCGGCCAACATGCGTAATGCGACATGCGCGAGGACAGAAACTTCAAAGCTTCCGTCGTAAGTGGCCCTTCTATATGGATCTTATCAGTTCTATGCAGTTATTAGCCGTGCGGAATTAGTACCCTCGCACGGCGCTTCGCGCCTCTGGCTCGGGAAATACTCTACTGGCCGTATTCCGACGAAACTTTCTACATGGACGCGCTTGAATACAACTACAAGGAGTATTTTACTCGATTGACTTGGGGGAATTCGGTAATGAATAATAAGAATAACAGTTGTAATTTGACCTTTAAAAATATTCCGCTGAGTACCCTACTACTACAGATTAAAATACCGAAATAAAAGATGAAAAACTGAAGCTACAGGCTTGAAATAACACTCTAAATAGTGTTTTTGATTGTGATTTCAACAAGACTACAATGAAAAAGATATGTTCGAAGAGGCTGAAGTTATTTATGTTCGGAGAAAGATACGGCTTGTAATACATTGTCATTGTTTACACTCTTCGAACAGTTATGTATTAATTTATTGAAATAAATATCGCTTGACCATTCATGATCAACGCTCATAAATCACTATAATCTTTGTCTTTGACTTTGACTAAAACTATCGTTAGGAATTAGGAGATATTATTTCACTGAATCGAACGGTTGTATTTTCATCTGCATAGCATTCACTGAACCGAAGATATGAAACCTGCAAAATACTATTCCACTATCGGCATAGTTTAATTTATAAGCGCTTGTCGAGAAAATAATAACAGAATTTAGAAACCTTTCATTTTCTACAAATAATTAGCTCGTGGACTCGTCAAAATTGACTGAATCTACCAGTTTAAATGGCGTAAATCTATGACGCGCCGAACATTTCTTTATTGCCATTGAATTTCATTTATTCGCATTGAATAATTCATTTGAATTTCATTTATTCGCATTGAATTTCATTTATTCGCATTCAATTTGATTTATTCGCATTGAATTTCATTTATTCGCATTGAATTTCATTTATTCGCATTGCGAATTACATATATTCGCATTGCGAATTACATATATTCCATATGAATTTCATTTATTCGTATTGCGATTTACATATATTCGGATTTCGAATTTAGTCATTTATTCGCAGTGCGAATTAGACATATTCGCATTGCGAATTGCATATATTCCATATGAATCTCATTTTAATATTCGTATTGCGAATTACATATATTCGGATTGTGAATTTCATTTATTCGCATTGCGAATTGAATATATTCGCATTGCGAATTGAATATATTCACACTGCGAATTTCCTATATTCCTTATGAATTTCGAGATAAATGAAGCACGAGATAAAGGAGACAGTTCGTGGCTTAATGGCAAATGCTATTCCGCTTGAAGAACAGGGTCTGAGTTTAAACAAACAAGAGTTTAGGTTATTTTATTTTATTCTATTCTATCAACCATACCCTGTCTTGCAAAAAGGATGGTTTTGTGGTAGAGACAGGACGGAATTCGAGACCTGTTGACATCCGTGATCAGTAAAGTTTGCAAGAATGTTGAATCTGAGCCACACCTTCAACCACTCGATAACTCGATAACTCGAGACTCAATTTAAGAACAGCAAACATAAGTCCTGAAGCAAGATTAGATAGCAAGGCCGTAGGGTTCTGGTCTCGTGGAGTTACTGCATTTTTTGATGTCCGAGTAACGCATGTAAATGCCGCAAGCAACCAGAACAAGTCAACATCGACGACTTTCCAAGGGCAGGAAAATGAATTAGAAGAGGCAGTATCTGCATAGAGTACTGGAGGTGGAACAATGGTCTTTTACGCCTCTGGTGTTTGGAACAAATGGCGGAATGGGAACCGAATGCGAACAATTTGTGAAGACACTGACAGAACATTTAGCGCGAAAGAAAGGGGAAAGTTACGCGATCGTCGTAGCCTGGCTGCGAACGCGCTCATCGTTTGAGATATTAACAGTTGTGCATTTGAGCGAAGAGGCTCGCGAGTACTGTTCATGAGAAGAGATGAAGTCGAAATGCTCGAGGACTTTCGCCTTAATGTGGACGCAGCAGGAATTTTTTAAACCGTTAGACTTTTTAGAACTTTTTTAAACTTTTAGTCTTGGGAACACCTTCTTAGATAAGATTTTTAGAACTTTGCACTTCAGTTGCTATCTACTATCACAAGAAAGAGAGAACATTAACCAAGTTGATGAGTGGACTGGGGACGAGTGTTAAAAAGTGCCCAAATTACGAAATGAACCGAATCACTAAAAAGACCACCTCAAAATTAGTAAGTATACAAAGTTTGAAGACGTTTACATGAACACCCTTCGAAATAAGCTTTCGAAAATTGTGCAATTACTGATTAATTAAAAGATTGTTTTTGGGACGCGCGTCCCAAAAACAAAAATTACCGTCCATTTCATAGTAAATATCGAGATTTTCGAAAGCTTATTCGTCGAAGGGTATTCACGTAAACGTCTTCAAACTTTGCATACTAACTAATTTTAAGGTGGTCTTTTTAGTGATTTAGTTCATTTCGTTATTTTGGCACCTTTTAACACCCGTACCCAGTCTTCTCATCAACTTCGGAATGGCTGTTGGCAAATGAACGAAGAAACTTCGCAATGGTCACAAATATCTGAGGAAGAACTGGAAAACATTGTTAAAGAAATAAGAACACTAACATAGGGCAACGGAGGTTATTGAGTGCTTTACGATGTAGGGTTCAACATAAGAGGGTGCGAAACTGTTTATGGCGAATTGACCCGATTGGTACTGCTCTTAGATGGAGACCAGTAATCTTTATCCCCTGGTTGCTTCGAACTCTTAATGGTAAGTCAAATTTAGTTACTCCTTCCTCAGCTGTTCCAAAACAGTGGTACTTCTATTGTTATCAGCACATTGTACGTAAGTCAGTAATCGAGAATATCCATTTATACAGCAACGAAAGAATATCCGATATGGTTCCCGTCTATGTGCCAGAAGGCATTTGGGCAAGGAGCAGAGAATTTTCTTTTGGAAAATTGCAATGGAGTTGCAACCTACATGTTGGGACGCAGAGGATTGGATCGCGGCAACATTATAACTGGGAGCTCTGTTCACAATTGTAGGGTGGAAACAGTACACAGAGACGCCCACTGCTCCCATGATCAATGTTGAAAAAAGTGAGTTGACTTTTCTCTTTTCATTCATTCACACAACATTGAATTGGGGGTGAGGGGGTATTTATGCGGTTGTCTCAATAATTTTTGCCCCTGATTGTCTCTATTTGTACTTTTGAATGAAACGTAATTCGTTCATGTTGATTCAACTCATTGTGCAGGGAAGACGCTGACTTGGATTTCTGGCTTAACGAACCTTTTGCTATACAATATTTTACTCATCGGTTTTCTATAACAGAGTACTTCATGTAAAAAGAATATAGGGGATCTTGTGAACTGTAGTTATTTTTTGTTAGAAAAGGGTGATTGATTAATTGATGAATATATACATTGGAAGAAGATTATAAAATAATGAATAAATTTCAGACAATTTTTTCTCTCAAACAGAATATTTCCTTCAAATTCAAGAATTTTATAGCAGACAACTCATCGTTATGGCCTACTTACAAACAATTTTGAAAAAATTTCAATGATTTTTCTACTTTTAGCTGAATTGTTACGTAAGATTGACATACGCACTAGATTATAAATCCAATTCAAGCTTTTTGTTTATGTTAATATACGTAAACTTGCACTAGAATTTATTGCAAACTTCCATCTCCTATGATTTTGGGATTATGTGAAATGAGCTAAAGCAAATCTGGTCGCACATGCGCAAAATATCAACCTATTTTTACGATCTGACTAGACACGTTACACCACACATCACATAATAATCTGTAGTAAAACATACATAGATATGAGACGTTACACACGTTACTCCCATTGTTTTTAAAAATAAATATATATATTAATTTTTAAAACATTGGGTGTAACGTGTGTAACGGGTCATATTTCTATATATTTTTCTATAGATTATTATGTAAAGTAGGTGTAACGTGTAGTGTAACGTGTAGTGCAACGTCTGTGTAACGTGCTAGCTTTTTCTTAATGAAGCCAAGTGCATAAAACTTACGTGAACTAATCACTTTAGATTAGTTGGTGAACATCCAACAGCACATACTACAGTATAAATGACAAAGTTTTCTTATTTTTCGTCATATGGCTAAGCTGAGGAACTGTCATATAATGACTCCCTCCTCAGGAAATGATGGCTAATTGAGCTTGAAAGGACGTAACAGTAGTTAAAACACTATACGCTAGATTTTTATGGCTTATTGGATGTGTCTTACTATATCGCAAAGTATTTTAATAGATCGTATTTAGCCTACAGCTTGTCTATTTTCCCAAGATTTTTCTCTAGTAAGTAAATGATAGTAAAAAATTAAATTCGTTAGAAAAGCTTCTTATTCTTGTCCATGTCTCCGCGCAGCCTCCTTGCAGAATTTCTACATTTTGGGAGACAAAAAATTTCGGTAAATATGATTGAAATATGTCAATTTCATGTCAACTTAACATGCATGATCGCTAAAGTTTGGCAAAATTTCAAATTTTGGACAGCTATCCCCCAAACAGCTCCATCTCAGACAATCGCGTGCAAAAATAATAAGACTTTTCACATTTTTGGCCATCTTAAAGTAGGCCGGCCTCCCCCATATGCCCCAATGATCAATGTTGGAAAAAGTGTGTTGACTGTTCTCTATTCATGCATTCACACAACGTTGAATTGGGGGTGAGGGGGGTATTTATGCGGTTGTCTCAATAATTTTTGCTCCTGATTGTAGAGTAAGCCCAATCAGTCATGTGACTGACGTATTTTTTGCAAAGAAATAATTAGGCCATTTATTTATAGCATATTGTAATTCATTGAATGCATTTTATGAAGTATAATTGATATATTACTCTTTACTTTGCTTGAGAATTTTGATTCACAAACAGCGAGTTATATTGGATCGGTCATTGGTATCATATCACTTCAATTTGCGAAGGATTTCATGAGCCAAACTCAAAGGCTATTGAAAGTTGAAACTACATGATGTGTTTTGTAATATGACCCTCCGTTAGTAAATCTAATTCCGAGGACTGGGAGAAAGCACGTTTTTGTGATCATAAAAAATTCATGTGCTTCATGTACTTTATAATCTTTGGAATTCTGCAGAATGTCACCGCCAAAATGCTTGAAATCGCATTTCAGAGACTCTAGATTTCAAAATTTTCCGGGGGGAGGCACGCCCCAGATCCCCCTAGCATGTCTCACGCCATCGGCGTTCGACTTATGATTGAAAAATCCTAGATCCGCCCCTGCTGATTCCTTCAATTAAAGTTGTTCTTGTAAGTGAATCAGTTTATATATTTTATAACATCTAGATACAAATTATGAAGTAATATTTCAAATCCGAGTTAGTGTTAAGTGTTTTAGACGTGGTTTCTAAATACAAGTACCATCAACAATGGCGAGACGCAGCCGAGTCATTGTTCATGGCACACGGGATTTGGAAGCCAAGTTTAAAACACTAACGAGAATTTGTAATTGCTTCTCACACATCATCAGACTTTCATAGCAATGAGGCATGAAATTATTAGATAATTTATTCAAAAAAGTGAGCGTGGGAATTAACGATTACACTCGCTTGAAAGTTTGCATGAAGTGTAAGTGTAACGAAGCGTTTAGTTCGCTTTCGTCATGAATAGATGAATTCTGTTGGCAAAAGAGCATGGCATCTTCTTATAATATATAAAGTAAAAGCGGTTTCGAGAACCAGAAAGTGGTGGACACAGTACCGCAAATGTAAGGAAAGCCATTCGCTGACAAGGTTAGAGATCCGGAAAACGGTATGTCAGATTGTGTGTGCGATAAAGCGCTATCTGGTGGAAAATGGAATAGCCGAAGTGAATATATGTTAGACGGTAAACATTACTGGTTTTAAAGCGCTGTTTATTATGATAGTCGGTAAAAAATTTGGTTTTTCTATATTTATTTAGTTTTCAAACGTTAAGAAAAAGTGTACAAACTAAGTAAAGTGTATAGTTGGAAAAAAATTCTAAATACATAGCAATTAAATACATAGCAATAATTCTAAACATAGCAATTAAATATATTTGCATAATCTATTGTTTACCGCGGCAATTAGTATCCCTCATGTTGACACAATAAGTTGTGTCTATTAGCACAAACACATATTGACATTTTAACACCGCCATCAATGGCCGCCAATCGCCACCCTTCCCCTAAAGAGTGTAACAATACATAATCCGATTTCCCCCCAACTTTGTAGGCTACATCTCTATTTTCTACTTAGTTGTAGTTCCAAATAACGCACTTTATATGCAACTACTTTCCAACATTGCACGTACGTTATGATGATAGTGATGGTTAGTGCTCTACATCTCTCGTTTCCGGTTATTTATAGCCCCAAATTACGCACTTTATATGCATCTAATATCCAATATTGTACGCGGTACGTCATACGAGCTTCTGTTTGCGTCTTCTCGTGGGATTTAATAATGGTTAGAGCTCTACATCTCTCGTTTCTGGTTATTTATAGTTCCAAGTTACGCACTTGTAGGGATGCAACTACCTGAAAAATCATAAGAGGAATTTCGACTTTTCTAGTGAAGGCTCCAGACGAAAGGCCTTCGCTCGAAACGTCGAAATTCCGCATATATTTTTCATGTAGTTGAATCCCTACCAAGGAAAGCTTGTTTATATCATTGGCACTACATACACTGGCACAGAAAGTTCAATAATA